TTTCCATGACTGGAAAATTGGTCAAATGTGTTCCAGGTTTTCCAGGACGAGTGGGAACCCTTTTTATACGTTTCTCAGCTGTACTCAACTATAGTTAACAAAATAAAGTCACAATATTTCAAAAATAAAGCACAGATTTTACTCTCGAGCTTAAATTCTCAGAATATTCTGAAAGTAAACCCATAAGGGCCCCTGTGTGGCCCCTGACCTTGGTCCTGTCGTCGCACTGCCGCCGTGACTCCCACAGCAGCTCCTCCATGTCGCTCAGCTCCTCCCTCAGCGTCTCCACCTGATACATCAGAGTGGACTTCTCGTTGTGGAGCTGGGCGTTAGAAACCATCGCTTTCCGGTACTTCTCCTCCGACTCGGCCAGAGAGTCCTGAGCACATCACATCACATCACCCTCTGCACCGTCTCCGCTAAAGCATTCACTTAGATCTGAACACTAAAACCATAGACCACCTTCATGTCTCTGATTGACGCCTCCGTTTCCACGGAGAACGACGTGTCGCAGCTTCCTCGGCGGGACGAGGCTCCGCCCAGAGAGGCGAGCGTGGCGGCGGAGAGCGTGGAAGCCGTCCTGGAGCCCTGAGGAAGAGGAGGACAGGCTTCATCACCGCTACGTGAAATCTGAATGAACTCGTTAACTGGGTCACTTTTTTTCTCCATCTTTGAACATTTCTGTAAAATAAAAACTTACTTTATCCAGGAAGTCTCTGTCCGGTCTCTCCTCCACCTGAACACACAAACACAAACTTTACTGATCCATCGCACTGGTTACTGCTGCGTAACCATGGTGACACTGTGTATTTAAACTGGTTTAAATGAACTTTATCGACAGGAGCTGCACGTGGACAACATGGCCACCAGGGGAGCCAGACTCCAGAGACCTGTTTCTCTTGGGTTAATGCACGACGACGCTTCCTTTGTAAACCAGCAGGCTGGACCCGGAGCGACGGCTAAAACTAAACTAAAGGCCCCGGGAAGCACGTGGCGGACTTTGAGTTTGACTACGGAGGTGCTGGACCCAGTCTGGGAGGTCCTGGATCCTGTTCACTCAGTAAATCTGGTTACTGCTGTGATGTCCTTTACATCCCTGACCTGTGAGGTGGGCAGGAACTTTATAATAAATACATTTTACATCACTGGGGTAAGTCTGGGGCCCTTTGGGGTCAGGAGCCGATAAAGGTTTGGGATCCCTTCCTCTAGACTGACATGGTGACTGTGAGGAGGTACGGACTAGTGGTGAGGAGAGTGAAAGCAGAGAACCAGAAGAGAGAGGGGGAGACGGTCAGACAGAGACCCAGAGAAGAGAGCTCACCACTGGGCTCGCACGAGCTGAACTGGCCCTGGAGGAGGCTCGAGAGCTGGAGCCCAGAAACCCACTGTAGTCTGAAGGCTGTGGGGGGTAAGAAAGGAGAGAGAGGGGAGGGAAGACAGAAACAGAAAACAGTTCATCAGGATGTTAGTTAGTCGTCTGTACGGTGGCTGAAAAGGTCAAACCCACCGCAGCGTTCAGAAAACACAGACTGGTGAGGTCCCTGCAGTGCGTTGTGGTTCCTGGAGCTGGTAGATGAAGCCAGGGGCCTCTGGCAGATCAGTGTCTGACAGATTTTACCTGACCGCCTCCAGCCCGCGCTGTGTTTTCTTAAGCTGCGGTGTGTTTCACGCACGCTCTTTCATTCAGAGCGGAGAGGAGCTCCGACAGGCCGGACTCAAGGCGGCCGGCCAATCAGAGCTTCCGTCGCTGCTCTCCAACACAAACGTTTCAGTGACGGAGATCCACAGTCTGCCGCACCTCACCACATCCACCTGCTGCCTGATCTACTGACAGCCAACAGGAAGTGATGTCAGAGAGCGACCCTGCAGCTGAGAGAGCGAGGGGCTTCACTAAACATTAAACAGACACTTTAGGCTCCAGTGGAACAGAGTTTAACAGCTGCTGTTTCATTTCACATCTTCAGAATCAGGCCTGACAGCCGGACAGGAAATACGTGCTGGTTGTTTCACCCGCTGATACCTGCTGATACCCGCTGATACCCGCTGATACCTGCTGATACCCGCTGATACCTGCTGATACCCGCTGATACCCGCTGATACCTGCTGATACCCGCTGCAGTAAGAAAGTCTGGTTTCATGACAACTTCCCCTGGTGTTTGTTTTGCTGACCGACAGCAGAATCATGTGACGTCCAGCTGTTATTGATTATTGATCATTGATCAGGTGCAGTCTGATGACCGCGTGTTTACTTGTTGACCCGTCTGCCTTCAGCTCAGGAAGCTACTTCCTGTCCGGTTTAAAGCTGCTGCAGCAACATTTCTGTCTGTAAACACAATCCAGTGAACTCCTGAACCCCGTCCTGAGTTAATGACCCCGTCCTGAGTTATTGACCCCGTCCTGACTTATAGGCCCCGTCCTGACTTATAGGCCCCGTCCTGACTTATTGGAGCCCGTCCTGACTTATTGGAGCCCGTCCTGACTTATTGGAGCCCGTCCTGACTTATTGGAGCCCGTCCTGACTTATTGGAGCCCGTCCTGACTTATAGGCCCCGTCCTGAGTTATTGACCCCGTCCTGACTTATAGGCCCCGTCCTGACTTATTGGAGCCCGTCCTGACTTATTGGAGCCTGTCCTGACTTATAGGCCCCGTCCTGACTTATAGGCCCCGTCCTGAGTTATTGACCCCGTCCTGACTTATAGGCCCCGTCCTGACTTATAGGCCCCGTCCTGAGTTATTGACCCCGTCCTGACTTATAGGCCCCGTCCTGAGTTATTGACCCCGTCCTGACTTATGGAGCCCGTCCTGACTTATTGGAGCCCGTCCTGAGTTATAGGACCCGTCCTGAGTTATTGACCCCGTCCTGAGTTATTGACCCCGTCCTGACTTATAGGCCCCGTCCTGACTTATAGGCCCCGTCCTGAGTTATTGACCCCGTCCTGACTTATAGGACCCGTCCTGACTTATTGGAGCCCGTCCTGACTTATTGGAGCCCGTCCTGACTTATAGGCCCCGTCCTGAGTTATTGACCCCGTCCTGACTTATAGGCCCCGTCCTGACTTATAAGCCCCGTCCTGAGTTATAGGCCCCGTCCTGAGTTATTGACCCCGTCCTGACTTATAGGCCCCGTCCTGACTTATTGGAGCCCGTCCTGACTTATTGGAGCCCGTCCTGACTTATAGGCCCCGTCCTGAGTTATTGACCCCGTCCTGACTCGCCGGCCCCGTCCTGACTCGCCGGCCCCGTCCTGACTCACCAGGTGAAGGTCAGACTCTCCCTGTGTGTGTTGCTGAGTGAGACTCACCCTGAAGCTGCCGCGACTCCCCACAGACATCCTCTCTTCGTCGTCGGACATCTGAAACACACAAACAGGAGTTTAACATGCAGACAGCAGATTCCCCTGTCTGGACCTGGTCCAGGTCCTGAACCAGGTCCTGGTCAGGAGGCTTCTGGTTTGGTTTAAATCTCTGACAGTTTCATGTTTTAGCCTCCTGCTCAGAGGAACTGATTCAGTTTCCTGCCACACTAAGTGGATCGGATCGGTCCGTCAGCAGGTTCAGACTACACCTGGTTAAAGGGTTCAGTGTCTGATATCTGCTTTTTAATTGGTTAAAGCACGATGGAATACATTTTGAACGCTGCATTATAATGAAGCACAGCGAGCTCCTCCAGTTCAGCAGGGGACGCTCAGGTTTGACTCCTGAGACTCTTTAATCAGTTCATTTAGCTCTTAATGTAAAACTGGGAGAGGCAGAACAGGAAGGGTGGAGGAACTACAGACAGACGGAGGAAGAGATACAGACCGAGGCGTGTCTCCGTGAGTGGCGAGAATACCGCTCACTGTCCTCCTGAAAGGCCACGAAGAAGAAAGACAACAGACCAGTTAAAGAGCTGAAACAGCAGAAGAAGAAGAGTTGCCCTGATCTCAGCAACATGCCCTGGGCTCCGTCTGATAGGCAGCAGCAGCACATGATCAGATCAAAATAAAAGTACTTGTTGTGAAACGTCACAGTTTGGTTGTGTTTAGGCACCAAAGGCAGGAAAGATCATGTTTGGGTTCAAATTATGACGTTCAAACATCAGTTAACTTACAGAAGCTGTGTGACCAATGTAACCTGAATAAAAACATCCCATATGTGACGACCAACCATGTGCTGCTGATGCCTGACAGACAGAGCCAAGGGACCCTGAGGGGAAACACTGCATGCAAACCATGCAGGTCATGTGATCAATTAAACTTCAATTTGCAATCAAATCAAACCTCAGGTGAGAAATAGTAAAACAATTAAATTAAATAAAAACTGAATAAAATAATCTAATGAATAAATTAATAAATAATGATAAAATAAAATTTAATTTGAATAATTCAATTATGAAAATAAATAAAAATATAAATTAAATCAAATAAATAATAAAAACTGAATTTATAAACAAAGAATTAAACAATAACCAAATAAAAAACCTCTGAATCTGAAGGAAATAATAATAATATGTAAATACATGCTGAGTTCACACGGCGTGAAGCTGAGCTACGGCGTGCAGACACACACACGGCGTGCAGCAAACAGCAAAGGATCATGGGACGAGAGCTGGAGGCAGATAATCTGGATTAGTGTTAATCTGTGCGAGTCTGTCTGAGCGCGTGCAGAACAAACACATCAGCACTGATACACAACAACAACAAACAGCAGCTACTTCCTGTTGACAACATGAAAACCAGACCGGGTCAGACCGGGTCAGACCTCCAGCTGTTAGAGGATCAGCTGAGTCTCTGTGTGTTGTGGTTTTATACATGACCAATCATCAGATCTGCAGCGTCAGAGTGATGTCACTTCCTGTTTGTTTAGAGGTCAATGATGTTCACAGCTGGTCAGATACGAGGTTTTCATGAGTCAGACAGCAGCACATACAGAGTCCTGCAGAGTCCTAATGAGCCCTGCAGAGTCCCAAAGAGTCCAAAACAGTCCTACAGAGTCATTTAGAGTCCTACAGAGTCCTGCAGAGTCCTAATGAGCCCTGCAGAGTCCCAAAGACTCCAAAACAGTCCTACAGAGTCATTTAGAGTCCTACAGAGTCCTGCAGAGTCCTAATGAGCCCTGCAGAGTCCAAAACAGTCCTACAGAGTCATTTAGAGTCCTGCAGAGTCCCAAAGAGTCCAAAACAGTCCTACAGAGTCATTTAGAGTCCTACAGAGTCCTGCAGAGTCCTAATGAGCCCTGCAGAGTCCCAAAGAGTCCAAAACAGTCCTACAGAGTCATTTAGAGTCCTACAGAGTCCTACAGAGTCATTTAGAGTCATTTAGAGTCCTACAGAGTCATTTAGAGTCCTACAGAGTCCTGCAGAGTCCTAATGAGCCCTGCAGAGTCCCAAAGAGTCCAAAACAGTCCTACAGAGTCATTTAGAGTCCTACAGAGTCCTACAGAGTCCTACAGTCATTTAAAGGTCTTCCAGAGTCATTTAGAGACCTACAGAGGCCTACAGAGCCCTACAGAGTCCCACAGAGTCCTACAGAGTCATTTAGAGCCCTACTGTGTCATTTAGAGCCCTACTGAGTCCTACAGAGTCATTTAGAGCCCTACTGAGTCATTTAGAGCCCTACTGAGTCCTACAGAGTCATTTAGAGCCATTTAGAGTCATTTAGAGCCCTACTGAGTCCTACAGAGTCATTTAGAGCCATTTAGAGCCCTACAGAGTCATTTAGAGTCCTACAGAGTCATTTAGATTCCTACAGAGTCCTACAGTCATTTAAAGGTCTTCCAGAGTCATTTAGAGCCCTACAGAGGCATTTAGAGCCATTTAGAGCCCTACAGAGTCATTTAGAGTCCTACAGAGCCCTACAGTCATTTAAAGGTCTTCCAGAGTCATTTAGAGACCTACAGAGGCCTACAGAGGCCTACAGTCATTTAAAGGTCTTCCAGAGTCATTTAGAGACCTACAGAGGCATTTAGAGCCATTTAGAGCCCTACAGAGTCATTTAGAGTCCTACAGAGTCATTTAGAGACCTACAGAGTCATTTAGAGTCCTACAGAGCCCTACAGTCATTTAAAGGTCTTCCAGAGTCATTTAGAGACCTACAGAGGCCTACAGTCATTTAAAGGTCTTCCAGAGTCATTTAGAGACCTACAGAGGCATTTAGAGCCATTTAGAGCCCTACAGAGTCATTTAGAGTCCTACAGAGTCATTTAGAGACCTACAGAGGCATTTAGAGCCATTTAGAGCCCTACAGAGTCATTTAGAGTCCTACAGAGTCATTTAGAGACCTACAGAGTCATTTAGAGACCTACAGAGGCATTTAGAGCCATTTAGAGCCCTACAGAGTCATTTAGAGCCCTACAGAGTCATTTAGAGTCCTACAGAGTCATTTAGATTCCTACAGAGTCCTACAGTCATTTAAAGGTCTTCCAGAGTCATTTAGAGACCTACAGAGGCATTTAGAGCCATTTAGAGCCCTACAGAGTCATTTAGAGCCCTACAGAGCCCTACAGTCATTTAAAGGTCTTCCAGAGTCATTTAGAGACCTACAGAGGCCTACAGAGGCCTACAGAGCCCTACAGAGGCCTACAGAGTCCCACAGAGTCCTACAGAGTCATTTAAAGGTCTTCCAGAGTCATTTAGAGACCTACAGAGGCCTACAGAGGCCTACAGAGTCCTACAGAGTCATTTAGAGCCATTTAGAGCCCTACAGAGTCCTACAGAGTCCTACAGAGTCATTTAGAGCCCTACAGAGTCCTACAGAGTCATTTAAAGTCCTACAGAGGCCCACAGAGCCCTACAGAGTCATTTAGAGACCTACAGAGGCCTAAAGAGTCGTACAGAGGCCTACAGAGTCCTACAGAGGCCTATAGAGCACTACAGAGTCATTTAGAGTCATTTAGAGTCCCACAGAGTCCTACAGTCATTTAAAGGTCTTCCAGAGTCATTTAGAGACCTACAGAGGCCTACAGAGTCCTACAGAGGCCCACAGAGTCCTACAGAGTCCTACAGAGGCCCACAGAGGCCCACAGAGTCCTACAGAGTCCTACAGAGTACTACAGAGGCCCACAGAGTCCTACAGAGTCCTACAGAGTCCTACAGAGGCCCACAGAGGCCCACAGAGGCCCACAGAGTCCTACAGAGTACTACAGAGTCCTACAGAGGCCCACAGAGGCGTACAGAGCCCTACCATCCACTGTTCAATGTGACCCCACTTATTATCCAGACCATAATACTTCTGCAGGAGGACGGGGAGAGGAAGAAGAGGAGAAACATGTTAGAACAAGAAGACAAAATAAAACTTCAGGTTTCAGATTTAAAGAGAAAAACAGGCGTATTTGTTTTAAACCTCTTGGCGCGGCAGGCGGGCGGGGCTTTAGCCCAGAAAGGTGAGTCGTCCCCACCCGGCCGGCGCTCCCAGAGGAGTAAAACAAACAGAAGGAGTTAGTCGTACCTTGTGGCTGTGAAAGAGCTACAGCAGGAGGGAGGAGACACAAGAGGAGAGAGCGGAGGTTAGAGAGCAGAGGTCAGAGGTCACGGCCGGTCCTGCTCTGCACCACAGAGTACACACAGAGTCTCTGCAGCGACGCCGTCACTTCTGTTTTACTCCCACAGAAAAACCTCCAGGCACATTTCAGCTGAACTGAAAACATCTCACAGAAGGTCGAGGGAAACAAACGTTCTCCTCAGAAAGTTTTAAACACTTTCACCAGAAATCAAAGCTCTGATTGGCTGGCGGTCGGAGCGCGCTGATGTGATGTGTTTCGTTTCAGTCTAAAAATGTCGTATCGATCAGAATCAAGTCAGGTTGAACAAACAGTTGAAGCCAAACAGTGGATCAATAAACAAACCTGATGATACGCAGTAAATATAAACCGGCTGTATTGAACCAGGACGTGACACTGAGAGTCAGCAGCACAGGAGACAACAACACAGTCAAATCCGTTTCCTCAAAGAAAGCTGGACGGCCTCGTTTACGGTCACGACGCCGCTCTGTCGATGGACGGCGAGCACGAACACAGATTTTCCTCGTCACAGAGCTGAGAGGTTGACGCCTTGCTGATCCACTAAATAACATTACATGTTTAAATGCATTAAAGTGATAGTCGTGATGTTCTCCTTGGATCTTACAACATAAACCTAAATTAAATCACCCGCTGACTTTCTGCTTCTGGCCGTAACACGAACACGGACGTGTTTTAAAGACACATTTTAAACGTGCGTCTTCCTCTGACGACACATTGATTTCATTTCCTGGTAAATTAATTTGTGTAGCAACAAAAAGAAAAGCTGGGAGCGTGCGTTGGTCAGAGACAAGTGAAGAAACGAGGAAGTTACTCACCAGAGGTCCAGACGCCGCTGAAGCTGCTGACTGACTGCTGACTGCAGCTCTTTGTTTCCACACTAACAGTTTGACCTTCGACCCCAGACTCTCTGTCTCTGCGGGGCCACGGCAGGTAAACGCACCCGGAGCCGAGCCGCCTTCACTTTTAAATGCCTTTGAGATAAGCCGTGATTCAGAGCCTCTAATTCATTCAAGTTTATTGACTTCTGTTGACCTGCGTCTTCTCCAGCAGCCAGCAGGGGGCGACTCCACTAAAAGAAGTGTGATTGTATAGAAGTCTGTGAGAAAATGTTTCTACTTGTCAGCTGATTTATTCCCTCAGTAAACACTTTCCTGATGAGTTTCTGGTCTCAGTCTCTAGTTTCAAGTCTTCTTCAACACAGCATGATGTTCATTTAGTAAATTATGGTCCCATTTAGAGGAACAGAGACCCGAGTTCTTTTCTATGTACATCAGTTTCTCTCCCCCCCTCAGTGCTTCATTAATAATTTTCACTGAATGTGTTTTAGCTGCAGCTCCGAACACAAACAGCCCTGAAAATATAAATATAAACATACCGAGCGGAACATTAAGTGCTGATTCATTCGTGTTTGAATTAAACTAAATCAAATGTTTATTGAACCTTTGTTAGTGGAAATTATATCGCGATCATTATCGTTTTATTGCCCCGCCCTACTTTTAACCATCCGGAGTCGACTGGTCATTTTTCTGTTAAATACGCTTTGTTGCTAGCCGCAATTAGCATCTGAGCTAATATCACAGTTAGCAAACCAAGCTAGCTAGCTCCAAATATGGTCACATCTGGTTCCAAAAAAACAAGATGGCGACGGCCAAAATGCCAAACCGGAGGTCCCCGAACCGTCGGGTGACGTCACGTCGGCTGCGCCCACTTCTGTGACTGTTTTATTTAAACAGACTTGAACGCAGCTTCATCTCTTATCTGCATCATGTGACGCTCTCATTTCTCTGCGTCGTTTCGTATCCAGGTAACAAGACCTCCGACACTTCAGCTGACAGAAACTTTGGCTAATTTTTTATTACAACACTTTCTGTCTTTGTTTGCGAATCAACAGCCAATCAGAGGATTCTCGTCGTCTCCTAGCAACGACGACACGACAAACCCCTGTGGACCAATCAGGTGGCAGGATGTGATGCGTGCGCTGACTTGTGTGAAGGGATTTCAGAATAAAAGCCCGCTCACCTCTTTCTGCTGCCGCTCCAGCTCCTTCATCCTGATCTCTCGAGCTTCCGCTCTCGCCGCGCGCTTCGCCGCCAGCCTGGCCTCCGCCTGAGCCGCAACGAGATGGAAGCATTTTAAACAACATCAAAATAAAACTGCATTGATCTCAACGCCACGGTGAAAACAATAAATCCCATCATCTGAACATCACAGAGAAGAACGATGGTTCAGGGTTAATTACTTAATGTTCAAAATGTAATCTGATTACCTCGATTACTTAATGACCGTTTTGTTTTCAGTTCTCTGACCAGCTGGAAATGTGCTCAACTTTTAAAGGTTTCTTTATCTGATTGTTACTAAGGTAACCGTGGGGAAATATGGGATTGAAAACTGAAATGACATTTTCGTCTCTGAATTTACTCAGATTACTTTTGACTTTGCTTCCTGGCGAAACGAGTTTCGACATGTTCATAATTTTGGCGTCTCCGCCCGTCTGTCTGCAGGAGGAATGTGGAGCGTCCACCTGTCCTCACAGCAGGAGACACGCCCTCCATCACCGTGACAACGACACACCTGCTCTGCGTGCAGAGTACAGACGGGTTGTGATGCGGGTAACGGCCGTTTGTGGTGAAACTTCATTTAAAACCAGAGCTGACGAGACGATCTGTGTCGTGTTGTGACAGCTGAGATGCAGATTAATGTTTGTGCTGCTGCAGAGGATTACAGGATGGAGGTCACCCCCCCCACCAGACAGCGTTTACAGGCTCGTGCGCAGCCGTCCTGCATCATCAGTGCGACTGATTGATCAGGAATGTGTGTGATTGGACAGACAGGTGTGTGCGTGTCTGAATGCGGCTGAACCGGTTTCCTGTTTGTTTACCTGCTCTGTGACTCACAGGCAAAACAGTCAGCTGCTCTCAGATCAGCTGATCGCACCCGGAGGACAATAAACCATCACCTCCTCCTCACCGATCAATACAGCTCCTTTAATTACTCGGCATCAGAAAGCTGCTGCTGCGACACTAAGCCCCCACTTCCTGCCTGTGCTTCACAATAAAAGCACTGTGAGACAAACAGCTGGATGATCTTCATCATGAGCGTGTTGTTAATTAAACTTCCAGCTTCTCAGACGATCTTCTATCTTCTTTTCCATGTTTTAACATCCGAATGAACTGAAACACCTTAAAGACGTGAACTGGAGCTGTTTTCAGAGCAATCAGTCAGCGATCAACAGGAACAATCATTGTGAGATGAGGGGTGAATATTACTCAGTTATTAATATGACCTGATCACCTGGACGACCTCTGATCAGTTTATTCTGCTACAAACTGAGCCGCTGATTCAGAATTCATTGATTATCGATCGAGAAATAAAACAATCAATGAACGGATTCAGCTTCCAACAAAGAATCAAACATCTTCAAGGAGAAGCCTTGAACCCCAGAACACAAACAACCACCACAGAAGAAGAAGAGGAACCAGAGGCTTCCTGCGTTGCTCAGTTTCCACATTCCAGCTTCAGTATGTAGGACAAACTCGGCCGAACATAAAGGAGCTTTGTCACAACAATAGAGACACAGAGATTATCAGTGTGAAACCAACTGTGGCCACAGACACAGCACGTGCTTATGATTCTAGTTATTAATTAGATTTTACATCTGTAATCTATATAATATCAATTGTATAGGTCAAAATAAATACAAGGAAAATAAAAAACTATTAAATATAAAAATAATTAATTAACAAAATAATTAAATCCAACATAAAGAGTCACATTAACAGCCAGAAATGTTTTAGTTGGTTTAATTTACTCTGTGACAGACTGGTACCTTTAAAATAGATTTATTTAATGTGTAATGTCATTGTACTTGTCTTTTTCTATTTTTATTTTATTATTTATTCTTATTAATTCATAGCTTTTAACTATTAATTTAAATTGCCCCAGGTGTTTCCGGTCTCCAGCACCGCTTCAGGGTCACTTAGTGATCCCGCAGAGACCCGCAGAGACCCGCAGAGGGACTCAGTTCACTGCTGTAACATTAAACCAATCCTCGTATCAATACCAGTATCGATAAGCAGCCTCACCTCCCGGGCGACCTGGTTGAGGGCATCGTCCTCTGCTGTCAGCCGCTCCCGGTTCGGGATCCTCTTCCTGCCCGGTCCCTGGGTTCCCATGGTTCAGGAGGGTTTTACCGGGAGCCGAATTATCCACAAAGGTCTCCTGTAGTCTGGGGCATCCGGTCCCGGGACTCTGAAGCAGGAAAATACTAAATAAAGGTGTTTGAGGTTAGAAACCTGCGTTTCTCTGATGCTGTTCGGCGGTCACCTTCCCTCGGCTCGGGATCCTTAAGTCTCCATCATTCGGGAGGTTTTAACCGGGGGCCGAATTATCCACAAAGGTCCCCTCCTGTCCAAAATCACCGTACCCGGTTTTCAGAAGTGGTGAAATACTAAATAAAGCAGTTTGAGGTTAAAATGTGTGTTTTCTGAAGCTCCTGGCGGTCATAAGATGCCCGGAGCGGCTGCGGGCCGAGCTGCTTTAGCTAGCTAACGTTAGCCAGCTCCCAACCGGAACACCGGAAAGGCAACCGCATTAACGACCACCGGCTGCTGCTGCTGGGGCTGCCTGCCGCCTGCGGTGAGAAGACACCGGGCACCGCCGTGTCGGTGAAACGGGGCCGGTGGACGCGTTAATCCGCCGCGAAGACCCGCGGCTTGTGAGGAAGGGGGCGGGTTCTGTTTCCTCCGGGCCCGTGAAGTAAACAGGGCGTCAGGTGAGCCGCAGGTGGGCTGGGACCGGTCCGTGAACGCACCCTGACACGACAGTCCGCAGTGTGACACAGAGGAGGCAGGAAGCTCTTATTGTGGAGGGGCGGACCCTGTCAAGCTGCGCACTTTCAGATACCACCGGAAGTGGTGTTTTTCAATTTAAAGGCTTCCAGATATAATATTTTATTTTTCAGATTCTTCTTGTTCTTATATATGTTAAAATATTCATGTGATTAGAATTTCATAATTAGGGAAAGAATCATGTCATGTCTTAAAATCACATATTTACTTATTATTTTATTTCTATAAATGAAAATGTATTCAAATAAATTAAAATACCTTTTCTTAAAAAGTAAACAGATTTCATAATATATTACTATTTGTATGTTTGGTTCTTTAAATTAAAAGTTAAACAAGTTGTTAGAAATAATGGCATTTCAATAGTGTTTATTATTTTTTATAAATTAATTTAATATATATTACAAAATTACAATGAAAACATAAATAAACCGGTCATTAAAATGCATAAAATACAAAAGTCAAAATGATAAAATAAGTTATACTATTAAATGTTATTACATATAAATAATAATAATATAACAAATATATGATCATAATTAAAAATATTTAAAAGTACATTTCAAAATATTTAAAAAACAATTGTTCCCAACCTTTATTATAACATCTATTATTGTAATATCAAATTCACTTAAGCACAAAACCATCACAAATAACAGAAGTTTTGTTTTTGGTAGAGTATTAGTATTAGTACTTGTGCCAAGTAACAGAAGGGAATAAGAATCATTTTTTTCACCATAAATAAACAAATTGTTGATTAAATTTATTATAAAAAATTCTGAGGCTTCATATTGTACTGTAGCGTCGTCTTTTCATTTTCAATTAAATTTAAATACTAATATTTAATAATGCAAAACATTTTATATACTGTATATCATCAGTGCTTTAATTGTGAAAGTTTCCACCGGAAGTTATTTCTTTACAGTTTGATTTCACTTCCCAAACTTGGTTTGGTCTTTTTACTGCAGAACATCTCATCTATCAGTTTGCCTGAATACTACTTCTGGTGTCACGTTTCAAAATAAAAGGACCAGCTTGGATCCTGCTTTTTTTCTGAAGGCAGAATCAATGACTCATCATCAGAGAGCTGATAATATAGTTTATTGATCAGAAAGCCAGACACTGACACACAGATCAACACTTGATCAATACAGTATTTTCTATATATCTATAATCAATAAAACAAACAAACTAAACATTTTAATCTTCTCAACATTTTGTAAACCTACGGAAGCTCAATTTTGCCATGATTAAATCAATTTAAAAATTAAAATCCTAAAAGTATCTTATGGCTCAATTTTTAATGATATTTTAAAAAGCAAAAATGATAAAACTGACTCATAATTTTGATTTATTTTCAGAATTTAAAATTACAGTTGGCAAAATAAAGATTTATCTGTTTATTCATTTTTAATGAAATTTTTTTTTTCAAATAATTTCAGTTGTAAAACAATGCATTTGATATTTTTTTGAGGATATTTAACTAACTAAAAATGTAACTGTAAATCCTAAATTGATTTTTAATAATTTTTCACTTCAGTGATAACATTGAAAAAGGAAATTATGATATTTTTATTTCAGAACACAAAATATTTCTATCATTTTTTAAAATATATAATGTTTTTTTAATTTGTACATATATTTGCCTTTATATTTTGTCTAAATACAATATAAACTGTAATTTGTAAATCCTTACTCAAATGTATTTGGGATTATGTTTCAGTGTCTTAGTAGTAAAGTACAAACTAAAATAAAAATTATGAATTCTTTGGTTGGTCTTTTACTTACAGTAACTAGTTGTAGAACGTTTCTATTACAAGATCAAAGCTTTCCTGTTTTATCAATTTAAAGGCAAATGTAAAGCTGAAAAAGCAAAAGGTTGAGAATTTAATCAGCATTTTCAGCGTTTTTCTAACTTTTATTTTTCATCACGTCTTTTGTTCTGAATTTAATAAATTAATACATTTTTACATATATTTAACTTTAATTAAGAAGAAGGACATAAAACATGCAGAAAAAGACACTGAACAGGGAAGAAAATGAATTTTTAGTGCCAAAAATGTAAAAACTGTCAACATAACATGATAATTAAGTTTGTGGACAGAACGTTTTCTAAGTTTTCCTTTGTCTCTAAACTCCAGCAGGTTTTCAGTTTCAGTACACGTTTGATTTCCACTGAGCTCCGTTAGTGGTTTCTGTCAAGAAAAAGAAGAACACATTCATAAAAATTACATTATTGAGTGAAATAAATGCTTTTTGTTAGTGTGGTGAACAAGTTTTCACTGTTATTTGAAACATTTCTGCCCTGCAGTAGCAGTACGACAGCTGTATGAGTTTCTCTGAGAGCAGCCAATAAACTTTCATCTGCACGTGAGGTAAAACTGTTTCTTACTGGGGAAGTCCTGTGTTGCCTTTTTCCTCTGATGAGATCCAAAAACCTGTGGAGCCAATTTAAACATGGGGACATGTTAGAAGGGAATCAAACTATCTACTAATTGTGAAAGAAACATCTCATCATTTTAACAGAACTTTATCAGATGAAGTGATGTAACTTTAAGACAATTTTGTAATTTTTGAGATAATTTGGGGGAAAAAAGTTAGTTTGTTAATAATTGTTGATAGTCGCTCTTTTGACAGATACCTGACATTTTTTCCTCTGAAATACACCTGTAAAATCAGTCAGTAAAGACTAAACAGCGTGAAATGATGCGTAAAATCACTTAATTGTGGTTTCACTTCAATATAAAATACAACAGACTGACCTTCTTCTTTGATCCTGCAGTGTTCAGAGCAGCAATCTTACTTTCTATATCAGAGACCTGCAGGGGGGAATAAACAAATCAGGAAGTGATTCGCACCATTTTCTAAACTTCTGTTGGCATTATCTTGTTATAATGATGTAACATCTCAGAATTAGCTCAGATGCAAGTCTATTGTGATTTTGATTAAAGATCTTTACAACAATACAAAACAGAACAGAACAGTTATACAGCATTGAGTAAAAGAGCTATATATTATAAGATTATAGTAAGTAAAATAATCATTAATGAACTGAATGAATGAATACAAAGTGACTTATAAGACCACAAACCCTGTGAAAGCGCACTTATAATAAATAAGTAATACAATTTATACAGTGTAGAGAGAGTAACAACAGTCCAGGTAATAAAACCATGTATGAGCTGAGGGTCTCTTTCTAATGGATCATAATGGATTCAATAGACCTGAAGCTGGATAGGACAAGTGCAACAGGTCACGTTTATGTGTTGAATGTTGTTGTCCATAGCAGAGTTGGAGACGACAGAATAAAAAGATGTTTACAGCTAGCATTAGTTAGCCTGCTCAATTTGATCCATCAGTCCATCAGGTTTAAAAACATAAGAGCTTAAAGCACAAGAACATATTCAAATTGTCAATAAAACAAAATTGTAAATAGCAGTTGTGCAACTGAAGCCACGTGTGAAGCTGCAAAAGTCTGCTAACACCACCACAGCCATGCCTAAAGTGGGAAGTGGAAAAGAGAAAAAAACTTCCTTCTCGCTAAGTTTTATACGGTTAACATGCTAAGACAGATCCTGGCTCAGCCCAAAGACTGCACACCTAAACACAAGAAAAGCAATCTAGTGGATGCTGCCCAATGCAGTGAGCACAGACATTTATATTGGGGAAACAAAACAACCACAACACAAATGCATGGCTCAGAAGAACCAACTCCTCAGATCAAGACTCAGAGGTTTACTTACATGTGAAGGACAAGGGACACTTTTTTGATGACAACAGTGTACATGTTCTGGACAGGAGGGTAGATGGTTTGAAAGAGGAGTCAAATAAGCGATTTTCACCATAGAATAGAAACCATCTCTCAACAGTGAAGGAGTTCTGAAACACCACTTATCCCCCACCTAAAATGCTGTCCCTACATTTCTTTCCAGGAGATTAAACAAATGCTGATATTTGGCCTCATGTGACAATGCCAAAAACTGTTGTCCAGACTTGGCTTCAGATGTCTCCAAAGACCATAACGACTGCTGTCACAACAGCCAGGAGCACTAACAAACCAAACAGTATCCATCATCTTAACAATGACCCCACAGAGGTTAAATAGCTGGGACTCCATGCCAGTCAGTCAGAACTTTAGAAGCCTCTTGGATTTTTGTCCACCTTGAATAACTATATATCATTTTGATAACCGAGAACCTTGACAGACATCAATACTGGAGTTTTTTCATGAAATATAGATCTCAAACTAATAGATAGTTTTTATGTGATATTTGGATTTTATACTGAAACAAAACTACTGTTGGTAATAAAACTACGTTTTCTAATGAGATACAGGTTACCAGATAGTTTTCTTATAAACATCTCTGAAGTTTTCTCATGTGATAGAGACCTCATATTTACAGGATAGTTTCCTTAAGATAATTTTCTTGTAGTTATTTTTAAGTTCATATTTAAAAGAAAACTATCTCACAGACAGGAGTTCCTCCTTCGCCTCTTTCATGCTGAATGACTCTACATCACTAACAAACCAATTATTACATGTCATTCAGGTGTGCATCTCGACCCACCTCGCTCTCAGCACTCTGGACTCTGGCGGCTGTCAGAGCCATCACGTCCTCCAGCTCCGACAGCTCAGAGTCCGTCGTCCCTCCAAAACGATTCTTGGCACTCTGCTCGAGTCGTCGCAGCTTCGACTCCAGTTCGTACGACTTACCGGCTGCGATGTACACCTGGACAGTTAACACGACAAACACACCTGTGTCACCTGAGAGGGCGCTAACACACCTCCACACCACTGATAAAAATAATAACAGGGCTGCGTATAACTGCAAAATACACAGACTGGTTCTCTGTTCGTGTAAAATCCACTTTTGAGTTGACTTATTTAATGAAAGGAATATTATTTCTTAACGGAAAAGGCCGATTTATCAAACCTTTATCGATTTCTCCTGTTTAAATCAAAGAGATCATTTAAGATATTATATATAGGACTATTACATATATATATATATATATATATATATATATATATAATAGTCATATGTGTTTTATAAATGTATATATTATGCTATTATTCTCTGAGAGTTTATTTCTTAAAGATTGGATAAAGAACTTATAAGAATGGGGAAGTCTTCTTGTAGTTGTGACGTTTCCTTGTACGATCGGATCTCATTATTGAAATTTCCACCTGTAAAAGGAAAGAGGCAAATATCTGCTCTTTTCAACTCTTTTAGTTAAAACAGCTCTTGTTGGACCCAAACTGGAACCAGTACTGCCCAGTATATTTTACAGATACCCAGCCCTGTTTGAGACACAGCAGCCGGGGTGATTTGAAGCCAGTCCAGACATTTCTGTCATGCTTCAGATGAGGCGGGAAAGTTTGGCTTAGTTTGACAAAAAGAGGTTAGGGGGAAAACGAGGCGTGCAGTTCATGAAGCTTACATTTTCCTCAAGTTCCCTGAAAGCATCATCTGCTTGCTTAACGTCAGTCCCTATTAAGTGGGATCTGTCGGCCGGCTCTGAGAGACCGTATTCAACCATTGCGTTTTCTGTGGCATTAATGGTTCTCAAGACCTCAGTGGTGAGGTCACAGAGGGCGGCAGCAGTTGATCTCTGAAAGCCATGTAGAGGGACAGATGTTAGCAGCTGGAAAACAAAATCTGATCCTGCAGCAGCTACCAGCCTGGAAGCAAAAATACTAGAGTCTGGAGGAGGTTTCAGTCCTTTAGTCCTTTAGTCCTGGATTAAGAGTAACTTTCACATGTACGAGTTGATGTCTGTATGAACATTTTTATCATTTAAAGTATTTTAGAGGATTTTTACTTTTTGACATATAGTACACTTGTGTAAGTGAGGAAACAAGAATACCAGTGTGACAAATACATCCATCCATCCATCCATCCTGTGTGCAGGGTCGCAGGGGGCTGAAGCCAATCCCAGCTGACATCGGGCGAAAGGTGCGGTACACCCTGGACAGGTCACCAGACCATCGCAGGGAAAGTTATATACATAGACTTGAAAATTTTATATTTATATATTTGCATTTTGCTGCTGTTCCCATCTCACCACAATATCCACAAAAGATATTGTATCTGTTAGCTCCATCTTGTGTTAACAAGATAACTTATGCAAACAAAAGCAAGAGCAAGATATTAGATCCGTCTTACAAACACAAGATATTAGATCCATCTTACAAAAACAAGATATTGTATCCATCTTAGAAGAGTGAGATAATAGATCCATCTAACAAGAGAAAGATATTACATCCATATATCAAAAGCAAGATATTAAGTCCGTCTTACAAAGACAAGATGTCAGATCCATATTAGAAGAGCGAGATAATAGATCCATCTAACAAGAGCAAGATATTAGATCCATTTTACAAGAACAAGACATTAGATCCATCTTAGAAGAGTGAGACAATAGATCCATCATACAAGAACAAGATATTAGATCCATCTAACAAAAACAAGATATTAGATCCGTCTTACAAACACAAGATATTAGATCCATCTTACAAAAACAAGATATTGGGTCCATCTTTCAAGATAAAGATAATAGATCCATCTTAGAAGAGTGAGACAATAGATCCATCTAACAAGAGAAAGATATTACATCCATCTAACAAAAGCAAGATATTAAGTCCGTCTTACAAAGACAAGATGTCAGATCCATCTTAGAAGAGTGAGATAATAGATCCATCTAACAAGAGCAAGATATTAGATCCATTTTACAAGAACAAGACATTAGATCCATCATACAAGAGCAAGATATTAGAACTATCTACAAGAACAAAATACTAAATCCATCTAACAAGAAAAAAAATATTAGATCTATGTTACAAAAAAAGATACTAGTTTTATCTTACAAAAACAAGATATTAGTTCCATCTTACAAGAACAATATATTAGATCCATTCGAACAGGAACAACATATTAGATCCACCTTACAAGAACAAGATATTAGGTCCATCTTTCAAAGAAAAGATATTAGATTCATCTTACAAGGGCAAGATATTAGATCCATCTTACAAAAACAAGATATTAGATCCGTCTTACAAACACAAGATATTAGATCCATCTTACAAAAACAAGATATTGGATCCATCTTTCAAGATAAAGATAATAGATCCATCTTAGAAGAGTGAGACAATAGATCCATCTTGCAAGAGAAAGATATTACATCCATCTAACAAAAGCAAGATATTAAGTCCGTCTTACAAAGACAAGATGTCAGATCCATCTTAGAAGAGTGAGATAATAGATCCATCTAACAAGAGCAAGATATTAGATCCATTTTACAAGAACAAGACATTAGATCCATCATACAAGAGCAAGATATTAGAACTATCTACAAGAACAAAATACTAAATCCATCTAACAAGAAAAAAAATATTAGATCTATCTTACAAAAACAAGATACTAGTGTTATCTTACAAAAACAAGATATTAGTTCCATCTTGCAAGAACAATATATTAGATCCATTCGAACAGGAACAACATATTAGATCCACCTTACAAGAACAAGATATTAGGTCCACCGAACAAAAACAAGATATTAAGTCTGTCTTACAAAGACAAGATGTCAGATCCATCTTAGAAGAGCGAGATAATAGATCCATCTAACAAGAGCAAGATATTAGATCCATTTTACAAGAACAAGACATTAGATCCATCATACAAGAGCAAGATATTAGAACTATCTACAAGAACAAAATACTAAATCCATCTAACAAGAAAAAAATATTAGATCTATCTTACAAAAACAAGATACTAGTTCTATCTTACAAAAACAAGATATTAGTTCCATCTTGCAAGAACAATATATTAGATCTATCGAACAGGAACAACATATTAGATCCACCTTACAAGAACAAGATATTACATCTCAAAATAACAAGATGCTAGATCCATCTTACATGAATAAAATAATAGATCCATCTTACAAAAACAAGATTAAAGATCGATCTTACAAGAACAAGATATTAGATCTATCTACAAGAACAAGATATTAGGTCCATTTTACAAAAACAAGATATAAGAGCCATATTACAAAACGAGATATTAGATCCATCTTACAAAAACAAGATATTAGATCCATCTTACAAGAGCAAGACATTAGATCCATCATACAAGAGAAGGATATTAGAACTATCTACAAGAACAAGATATTAGATCCATCTTACAAGAACAAGATAATAGATCCATCTTACAAGAGCAAGATGTTGGCTCCATCTTACAAGAACAAGATATTAGATCCATTTTACAAAAACAAGCTATTAGATCCATCTTAGAGGAAAGAGATACTAGATCCATCTTAGAAGAAAGAGATACTAGATCCATCTTACAAGAACAAAATATTAAATCTATCTTACAAAAACAAGATACTAGTTCTATCTTACAAAAACTAGATATTAGTTCCATCTTACACGAACAAGATACTAGATCCATCTTACAAGAACAAAATATTGGATCTATCGTGCAGGAACAACAAATTACATCCACCTTACAAGAACAAGATATTAGATCCACCAAACAAAAACAAGATATTACATCTCAAAAGAACAAGATGCTAGACCCACCTACATGAATAAAATATTAGATCTACTACAAAAACAACATATTTGATCCATCTTACAAAAACAAGATATTAGATCCGTCTTACAAGAGCAAGATATTAGATCCATCTTCCAAGAACAACACATTAGATTCATCATACAAGAGCAAGATATTAGAAATATCTACAAGAACAAGATTCTAGATCCATCTTACAAGAACAAATACTAGATCCATCTTACAAGAACAAGATATTAGATCTATCGTACAGGAACAACATATTAGATCCACCAAACAAAAACAGGATATTACATCTAAAAAGAATAAGATACTAGATCCATCTTACATGAATAACATATTACATAGATCTTACAAAAACAAGATTAAAGATCAATCTTTCAAGAGCAAGATCTTAGATCTATCTACTAGAAACAGATTTTAGATCCATCTTACAAAAACAAGATATTAGATCCATCTTACAAAAACAAGATATTAGATCCATCTTACAAGAAAAGGATACTAGATCCATCTTACAAGAATAAGACATTAGATCCATCTTACAAAAACAAGATAGTAATTCTATCTTACAAGAACAAGATATTAGATCCATCTTGCAAGAAAAAGATACAAGATCCATCATACAAGAACAAGATATTAGATCCATCTTACCAGAACAAGATACTAGATCCATCATACAAGAACAAGACATTAGATCCATCTTACCAGAACAAGATACTAGATCCTCTTACAGGAATAAGACATTAGATCTATTGTACAGAACAAGATTAAAGATCCATCTTAAAAGAACAAGATATTAGATCCATTTTACCAAAACAAGATATTATATCCATCATACAAGAGCAAGATATCTTACAAAAAAAAGTAGTTAGATAGTTCTATCTTAGAAAAACATATTAAAGATCCATCTCACAGAACAAGATATCAGAACCATCTTACAAAAACAAGATATTAGATCCATCTAACAGAACAAGATCCTAGATCCATCTTATTATATCTATCTACAAGAACAAGACGTCAGATCCATTGTACAGAACAATATATCATACAGGAACACATATTAGATCGACCTTACAAGAACAAGTAACTAGATCCATCTAACAAGAACAAGATATTAAATCCCTCATACAGAACAAGAAACTAGATCCATCTTACAATAACAAAACATTAGATCTATCTTGCTTGAAAAAGATAGTAACTGAAGCAAACAAGATATTCAAATCTTGGTCCTATATATGGTCCTGGGGCCGTACTACAGAAACTTCTTAACCGGCAGATCCAATCATAACTGCTTGGTAACCATGGTATTAAGGGTTAGGAACTGATATAGGAATAAGGCCATTGCAGATTAACAGTTCCTAAATCAATGTTCCTTTCCTAACTTAAGATAGGGAAAGTGTATTACAGAACTATCCTAACTTTGTAGAATCTTCATTAAACTCTCCTAATTTTAGGATAACTGTTAAGCTGTCCTAACTTTTACTTTTCCACCAGGTAGTGTTTGCTAAGTTGTTTAATCCACATGGGTGCTCTTTTATTGCTTTTACAAAATCAACAAAATATCAACAGGTGTAACTTGTTAATTAATTGAATTAATTAATTAATTCAAGAAATACATGAAAAACATGATGATGTTAGCCATCTTTTTTTTACCTTCATTATTAGCTTTCCCGAGAAGAGTATGGGTTTCTGCCACTGTCAGTGAAGGAGCACAGGAGGAAAACACCACTCTTTGGAGTTGCCTTTCTCTTCGTATCACTTGTTAACAACGCTCCGCTGGATGCCAGATATGTGGCGGTGACTGTGTCCGCTATTTTAGCTCAATCTCAATCTTTAATCTCCTGAGATAAGCGTTACATGAATTTGGATATCTCGATGGAGGTTATTAACACCTGTATGTTTCATTAAAAAAATGACCAAAAAACAGCAATTAAAATACCGTTTAGCTCAGTGAGATGAGAAAAGTGGCATTGGTTGCTAGGTAACAAACATGTAAAGTTGATAACTGATGTTGGATTGAGTATTTAGGATTTCCTAACCTGAGATAAGATAGGATTCCTAAACTTAGTTAGGATTTGCTTCTGTAATACCACATTGGAGAAAATCCTATCTTAGACCTTTCCTATCTTACCTTAAGACTTAAGATAGGAACTTTCTGTAATATGGCCCCTGGAGTTTCTTTGCCTTGTTTATTCCATTACTTAGGTAAACACCACTGAAGAAGGACTCTGTGATATATGCCTGATCTCTGTGGTTTCCGGGTGTTCCAGGCAGGTAGCTGCTGACCTTCATATTTAAACAACCTGCTGTACAAGCAGCGAAGACTTTTGAAGGTTGTTAACTCACACAGGAGGCAGCCGGTTAGTGAGGAGGCAGTCATGCAGTGTGACTGTTGACTGTTGCCTACAGGGAATCTTAATATGTGTAACACTCACATATCTATCAAAAATAACAGTCAAATTGAAATATGGGGTTAAATACCAAAGTTATCAAAATATCTGGTAGAGGGCGCTAGGGGCCTTAAAACATCCTTCATCCATTTCAGTCACTGAAATGTTTACATTTATTCATTTATCCAAAGCGACTTACAATTGCTATACATGTCAGAGGTTGTACACTTCTGGAGGAACTAGGGGTAGAGTGTCTTGCTCAGGGACACATTGGTGTCGCACAGTGGATTCGAACTCAGGTCTAACACCAAAGGCATGAGTCTTATCCACTGCGCTATCACCAACCCATGTTAACTATCAATACAAATCTTTAATTCTTGTAATTAGTCTATACTAAGTCATGATAATGATTTGATGATGTTTCTCTGGAGAATACAATGTGCTTCCAATGACTAAAGCTTAAAAAGCCTATTCTAAATGTATAGTTCTTTTATCTGTTCAGACACTTTCCTGGGGAATAAGTTGAGCCATGCTGTGCTTTTTCACGGCATTCATCACAAATGAGATCCTGGACATTTATAAAACAACAGAGAAACCTGTGTGACACAGAGGTGTGAATTAAGGTTGTATTCTGCTATGAGGTCATTTATTCATTTAGCTGACACTTTTATCCAAAGCAACTTACAATTGCTACATGTCAGAGGTCACACGCCTCTGGAGCAACGAGGGGTTCAGTATCTTGCTCAGGGACACAATGGTGGATGTCTTACAGTGGGAATCGAATCCAGGTCTCCCACACCAAAGGCAAGCATCTTATCTATGCGCCATCACCACCCCGTTAAGGTCAGAAACATTTTAGTTGTTTCGGAAACTTCCAGGTTCCCATTTGGTTTTGATTTTGAGCCCGTACATACAGTAAGCTGGGTCAGATTATCCGTCCTGACTCCTTCCTACCTTCTGGGCCTCAGTGGGCATTTCGTCGCTGGATGAGCTCAGTTCTTTGTCCTTCACAGAGTCTAGAGGGACCACCGGGCCACCCCTGAAGACAGCCGGACTTTTACCCACAGAGAAGGACTTCTTCCCGGCCTCATCGTCTGACGACAGGCCCTTATCACTCAGGTTCCCCGCCAGCTCACTCAGCTTCCTCCTCAGCTTCTCCTCCTCGTTCAGAGTCGATGTCTGCAGGAAGATAGACAATATATTTATTGATGAAATTCATCCCATAACGTCACAATAAAACAGGATTTATTTTTACATTTACATTTATATTTACTCATTTGGCAGACGCTTTTATCCAAAGCGACTTACATACTAGTAAGAGCAGCAATAAATACTAGTAAGAGCTCACAATCCATATCACATCAATGGGATAGATACCTAGGGAAGGAAGTAAGAGTTAACAAAAAGTGCAATCAAAACAAAAAGTGCAATCAATACAAGATCATTGTAGGGGATAGAAGAAGAAGAGCACAGGAAGTGCATGTTAGAGGTTAGGAGTTAAAGGTGTTATAAGAGGAAGTATTCTCGGAAGAGATGAGTTTTCAAGAGCTTCTTGAAGTTAGAGAGGGACGCCCCTGCTCTGATGTCGTGTGGTAGCTCGTTCCACCATCGTGGTGTCACAGATGCTTGCTTTGTGTGAAGGGATGGCAGACCCAGTCGGCGTTCGTTGGAGGAGCGTAGTGGCCGAGAAGGAACGTAAGTTTGTATTATGGAGTTTAGGTAGATGGCTGCAGACCCAGTAGTCACTCTGTATGCAGCATTAGTGACTTGAATTTGATTCTGGAGCCAGTGGAGGTCACTGAGTAATGGAGTGACATGAGTCCTTTTGGGCTGATCAAAAACCAGACGCGATGCTGCGTTCTGAACCATTTGTAAGGGTTTCACCGCACAAGCTAGAAGACCTGCTAGGAGGGCATTGCAATAGTCGATGCGAGAGATAACCATGGCCTGTACCAGAAGCTGGGTAGCGTACTGAGTGAGGTAGGGCCTGATTTTCCTTATGTTGTATAGAGCAAAGCGGCATGAACGAGAGACAGCAGCAACATGGTCTGAAAAGGACAGCTGGTCATCAATCATGACACCCAAGTTTCTCACCACCTTGGTTGGACTGATGGTTGCGGAGTCAGTTTGTAGTTTGATGTTATGGTGGATAGATTGCTTGGCTGGAATGACCAAGAGTTCAGTCTTAGAGAGGTTTAGTTGAAGGTGGCAAGCCTTTATCCATGCAGATATGTCTGATAGACAGTACTGCGGGAAGGATAGGTAGAGTTGCGTATCGTCTGCGTAGCAGTGGTAAGAGAAGCCGTGCGAGCGAATGATCGGCCCCAGCGAGGTGGTGTAAATTGAGAAGAGAAGGGGCCCAAGCACTGAGCCTTGGTGCACCCGTGTTTAGAGGCAGTGGGAGGAGGATAATTGTCCTTGCCACAAAACATTGTAGGAACGCCCCGAGAGGTAGGATTCGAACCACAGGAGTGCTTTACTCGAGATGCCCATTGCTGAGAGAGCGGATAGCAGGATCCTGTGGTTGACTGTGTAGTCAAAACCAGACCCAAAACCAAGTCATTAACAGATGGCAGAATTTCACTGTTTAATTAAAGAAGAAGTTGATGGGCTTATTTTGAACCTGGTGTGTCACATCTCACCTCGTCAGCAGGTGTCATCTTCTCCTCCAGGCGGCTCAGCAGACTCTCAATGGCAGACATGCGTTTGTTCAGCTCGTTCATCTGCAAAATAAAACCAAAGAAGAGATTATCAAGAGAAGAGGATTAGAATGAGTGATGATTAGTTAGGGTTAACCCAATGGCAAAAAATGTTTTCTGTAGTTTTCTGTAAAGATCCTCGGTCATCCAGTTAGTAATTATCCACTAATGAACTGGAGAACTGGAAGAAAGGCGACAAGTCTTCAAGGATCTTCAATCCAGTCCAGTTGCCCTTGATTTTAACCAGGCTTGGAATTTTCATAGTAGAAAGAAATATCCAATTTTCGTTGTGTAAATGTTCCACTTCCTGTGTTATGGTGAGCGTGACAAGTAAAACAGATAATCAGTGTTAGGGAGCACAACCAGTGACTGCGACTGGGTGTTTTCTCTTACAGGCGGGGCTTGTCCCAGGTTCTCCTGGGAGGAGGTTCTGCTGTTCTTGCGGCGGTGGGGGGGTTGTTGGTACATTGGAGGGTACCTCGGGTAATCGTCCTCGTCTGAGGTGTCAACGTACTGCTGTCGAGCCACCGAAGAGCTGATCTTTGACAGAGAGCGAGTCCGGACCATCCTGCTGTCTCCATAGTCATCTGACAACACACAGAGAGGTAAGTAGAGACAGTTAAATATACAAGTTAGCTGAAGTGTGACTGTGAGTCCTGCATGGAATATGAGACTGCATGTTCAAGTACAGGTTCTGAAAGCTAAACTCAAAGTAGTCCTTTCTACTAAAAGAACCCATTACAACATGGTGTCACCATGACTTACGCACCAGAGGAAAGAAATGGGATAAGCTACAGTAACCCTCTGATACAAGGAGCGGAACACCAGGGAGAAAATCTTTGCAGTGAGGGATCTGTTGAGCTTCAGTGAGACTCAAACTAGTAGCCAGAGTCGACACCATAGACCAAAAGACAGTGGGAGAGACAATATGCTCAGAGTAATGAGGCAGCACGCACTGTTCAGACTGTTTGTCCCTCTCTGTCAAGACAGCCACACTATTGGCTTCTTTTCCTGAGAGGTTGCAGCCATTTCAAAAGGAAGTCTTGAATATCATGTTCTTCTAACAGCCACTAGGTGGAGCTCTGCAACGTACAACTACCTCACGTTTGATTCATCTATCTCACAGCAACCAGTAAGAGACTGCAGATAATTTTACTGATGTGATAAATAGTGTGAAGCACATGTACTCTGTGGGGACTGTTTGTACTACATGTATTTGTATATACACTCACCTAAAGGATTATTAGGAACACCATACTAATACTGTGTTTGACCCCCTTTCGCCTTCAGAACTGCCTTAATTCTACGTGGCATTGATTCAACAAGGTGCTGAAAGCATTCTTTAGAAATGTTGGCCCATATTGATAGGATAGCATCTTGCAGTTGATGGAGATTTGTGGGATGCACATCCAGGGCATGAAGCTCCCGTTCCACCACATCCCAAAGATGCTCTATTGGGTTGAGATCTGGTGACTGTGGGGGCCATTTTAGTACAGTGAACTCCTTGTCATCTTCAAGAAACCAGTTTGAAATGATTGGAGCTTTGTGACATGGTGCATTATCCTGCTGGAAGTAGCCATCAGAGGATGGGTACATGGTGGCCATAAAGGGATGGACATGGTCAGAAACAATGCTCAGGTAGGCCGTGGCATTTAAACCATGCCCAATTGGCACTAAGGGGCCTAAAGTGTGCCAAAAAAACATCCCCCACACCATTACACCACCACCACCAGCCTGCACAGTGGTAACAAGGCATGATGGATCCATGTTCTCATTCTGTTTACGCCAAATTCTGACTCTACCATCTGAATGTCTCAACAGAAACCGAGACTCATCAGACCAGGCAACATTTTTCCAGTCTTCAACTGTCCAATTTTGGTGAGCTCTTGCAAATTGTAGCCTCTTTTTCCTATTTGTAGTGGAGATGAGTGGTACCCGGTGGGGTCTTCTGCTGTTGTAGCCCATCCGCCTCAATGTTGTGCGTGTTGTGGCTTCACAAATGCTTTGCTGCATACCTCGGTTGTAACGAGAGTATTTCAGTCAAAGTTGCTCTTCTATCAGCTTGAATCGGTCGGCCCATTCTCCTCTGACCTCTAGCATCAACAAGGCATTTTAGTCCACAGGACTGCAGCATACTGGATGTTTTTCCCTTTTCACACCGTTCTTTGTAAACCCTAGAAATGGTTGTGCGTGAAAATCCCAGTAACTGAGCAGATCGTGAAATACTCAGACCGGCCCGTCTGGCACCAACCAATGCCACGCTCAAAATTGCTTAAATCTCCTTTCTTTCCCATTCTGACATTCAGTTTGGAGTTCAGGAGATTGTCTTGACCAGGACCACACCCCTAAATGCATTGAAGCAACTGCCATGTGATTGGTTGATTAGATAATTGCATTAATGAGAAATTGAACAGGTGTTCCTAATAATCCTTTAGGTGAGTGTATGTACCAGATCTCATGGCATATCGGTCCAGACTCCTTCTGCGGTTTACTCGGTGGTTGGACATGTCGCAGTCCTCATTCCTGTAGCTTCGATCCTCCTGCATCTGCTGCATAAAACATGTTAAATACAAACAGTTAGTCATAGATACATTATGGTGGCTTTGGTATTTTTCAGCCCTATTTCCCCATGTTTTGTGTCTTTGTGACTAATGGGGACAATTTATTTTATTTTATCCAGTATTAAGAGAGCTGCAGCGAAACCGTCTCAGGTGTTGTCGTACCTGTACCGACGGTCGTCTCGAATGAGGGAAATATTCCTCAGCGTCAAAGTCCATAGGATGAACTGACAGCAGACGTTTACTTTTCCTCATCTTAAAGAAAAGAAGAAGAAGAGTTTAAAAGCTGCAGGATTCATCTGATTCATTTTCCTAAGATTTAGTTTATTATTTTTATGTTACCACTTTGTAGCGCTGAGCATCGGCCTCTCCATGGTCATCCTCGTTACCATTATGCACATCTACAGGTAGAAATACTGACTTTTAACATGTCTTCATGTCATTGAATTTAAAAAATTCAAAATGTTGAGATTTTCTGGAGACAGAAGACTGCTGCAAACATGAATATCAAATGTGTTTATAATCTATAGAAACAATATATAGTTCAAGCTTAGAATTTTTAATAATTGAACATCAAAGTCAAAGCAGATAACAGATTTAAGCTTTAAAGAAGCTTTAAAGTCTAATTTCCTCCCAGTCTTTTGTTAACTGAAAATTTCTGTGCGTAGCTTGAATCAAACTCTTTATTTGTTGATGAAAAAGTGTTTCAGCATCGACTCACGGCTGCGGACATCCGGCATACTCTGAGTGTCATCATCACGACCACCTAAAGAAGAAACACAAGAAGTGTTATTAGCATGTAGCATTTGGCATCTGAATTTGTTCATATGTTCAGATAAACACACAGACTGTTTCAGCTTGAGTGTATCCGGGACCTACATATTATAATAAGCAGTAATACTAGCAATAATATTTTTCTACAGAGAAATAGTTCATGTTTACAAGATAAACATGATGACAGAAGAATGGTCATCTGATTGGATCAGATTATCAGATAGATCTTTCTCTGTTTATAAATCTTAATTTAATGATCATTATTTGTTCCCTACTGAATTATAAAAACTAACATGTTCTGTGACATCTATTTGAGCCTTCGCAAACAACAAATCAAGTTAATTAAAATACAATAACACAGTCTGCTGGTGTTCAACAGCCTCAGTGTGACTCAGTAAATACATCACGTTTTTCTCAGCTGACGGTTTGATGACCACATGTGGCCCCTCCACAGACACAGGTCCTGCAGGTAACAGTGATGTCAAGGCAGACTCACCGTCTCCGTTCAGCCTCTTGTACAGTGACCTCATCACCTTGGCGCTGCCGAAGCGTTTGAAGCGGTTTCTAACGTTGTCATGGTACCAACCCACAGTGCCGATCTTCAACACCCTGCAGCAGGTATAAACACAAAAAACACTCCACTCTTTACCTGAACAGGTGGAGCACTGAAGCAACAAGTAGATTATATTTTACGAAGCTACTGGCTAACAATTTAGCATATCAAACTACATTACATTAAATGACAGCAATGTGTTTAGGTCATGTAGGCGTTTATATCTGGCTTCTTGCTAACATATTAGCAAACACTGTTAGCTGACGTTCCACGCTAAAATTGCAGCACAATAGTGAAACATTAATTTAAATAACTAGTAGGCTCCTTGCTCTTAATTGCTAATACTTTAGCGCACAGTGTTAATTAACAGTTGTCTGGGTAGCTAGCTAGTGCTAACACATTAATATACAATAACTAGTGAGAGCAGGCTCCATTTTGGGTAAAGTTTATCATTATCGGAAACAAAATGACAACAATCTCACCACAGATCTCTTTTTGGTGTCTGAATTCTTAGATGTGTTGGTGTATCGTGTATCTGAGACAGATGTGTTCCTTACCTGTGCTGTCAGTACCCACACCTACCTGTGGGTGTCTCACCTGGTCATGCGGCAGTTGTCACACACCCAGCCGTGCTCCTTCTTGTTGTAGCGGCTGCAGGCCTTGCAGGTGTACATGCGGCAGTCCAGACACTGACGTTTACTGTTGACCAGGAACTTAAAGGGCTGCAGGCAGCGGATGCAGTGCGAGTCAGACAGTTTACTCTGAGTACCCAGCAGCTCTCGCTTTGTATCCTCCTTCTCGATTTTAGTCTTCAGATCACTGCAAGAGACAACAAGAGAGGAAACGAGGCTGTGACCATAATCTTCCAACCACTTCTGTATCTGCGGAGGAAATATTGTTTGCTGTTAATACATTTTGTGGCCCTCTTTGTGTCAATAAAGTTGATATATTCTCTTAAAACTGAGGCCCTATCTGAATCTATCTGATCTGTTTTCTTAGGCTACCATTTGTGATATTCTTTCTCAGAGTCATAACTCAGTCTGATCTGAACAGACAGTCATTACACATGTTGATTTATTCAGTGTGACTTCCACTTCCTGAGGATTTCATGATCTCTGATGTCCATCCAGAACAAACGTCTAGTAACCAGCTTAAAAACCAGAGACAGAGGCTGCAGAACTGAACATCATCATGTTATAACCCCTGTTTCCAGTCAGCCTCTCCACTGTCAAACTTTCCAATAAAACTATGAATTATTTAAAGTTATAAATGAACAGCTGACAGAGTCTCAGGGAACAGATGGTGCAGCAGCTGAACATCTTGTGAAAGAACAGTTTGTTTAGTGTTTCATGTGACTGAATCATTAAACCTGAACGTCCACCTCTAGGGAACTGAACCACAGTTTGAAAACATCCACACATACAGAACTAAACTCAGTGGATCTGCTGTAATTCACTGTCACATACATTCACATCATGCTGACATCATACTGCTGGAAGAACAAATCACATTCCTCATTAAAGATGCTTCTTCTAAGAATAAAAGATAGAAGCTTCAAACTCACTGACTTCACTTCTGGTTCACTCGTGATGCTGAAAGTTTAATCAACACATTAAAGATATTTTAGGATCCTGGATGGACCTGAATTTAAAATGAAATGGCAAAAAAGAAGCTCTCAAGAAGCATTGAATGAGTTCAATTAACAAGATTCGTTTCTCAGATCAGATCTTAGAGACTGACTGTCTGCACTGTTGCTAGTGATCAGATCAGACAGCTCCAACCTCTCTGCATAGGTTGCTGTGATAACGACTTATTAGAAGTAGCCTATTTCTCTGGATTGTTCTCCATACCGCTCTGCTAGCAGCAGCGGGACTTTAATCAGCCACTCTGATGCACTTTGGATTTGACGTCGTTGTTGAAAGTGACTCAAAAGACACTTTGAAATATGATGTGAGCGGCCAGACTGAGACGCATCTGTAGAAACCCAATTGCAATCGCATTTCAAGCCACCTCCAGCTTGACTGGAGCTACCTTTGGCGAGGAAGGTGGCTCCAGTTTCCTTATAGAAGGAAAAGTGTCTCTCACCGTTGTTGTGTCTCTCTGTCCTCCACATTACCTAGTGCTGCCGAGGTCCTGCAGCCCAGCTCCACAGAAACTTTGCTGGGAACCTCCACAGAGAGGCGCACCAAAAAATCAGTTGCTCTGTTCCACTAAAGTACCACAAGTCCTGTCTGACTCTCTATTGTTGGTCTGGCCAACTCCTGCTGAGCTGCAGCAACTCTCAGTTGCCGGTGTCCTGTCCTGTTGCTCTGTTGCCGTCCTCTGGTCCCATACTCCAGCCATCAGTCTCTGGTCTTGGTCTTCAGTCATGTTGCCGGTGTCCTGCCTGATCTCCTGAGGAGCTCTGCCCATCTGTACTGCCCCCAGGCTGCCTGAGTTGAGAGTACCCAGCTCTTTGCCCCTAAATGCTACCTGCTATCAGTATCAAAGTGACAAAGTGACTGTAAAACAGAGAAAAGCTGTAAATCTACACATTTGGGAAATATTTGTATCTATGAAACCAGTTAGTTCTGTTTCCATTAATTTTGTTGTTGAACCTTCTTGTGGAATATTTATATATTTACATTTATGAAAATCAGTCTATGACTCTGGAGTCAGTTTTTTCTTTCACTCCATCCACTGTGACTTTTCTGTTCAGGATCATTATGATATTTGTATTTATGTTTAGATTTTTTAGTATGCAGTTGGAAGTTGTGTCTGTGTCAAACGTGTCTGTTATTGAAATGTTTCTGTATCAAAGAGCTTAGTTTACTATTCATCTTTATAAAATGTGTTTATCTGGAAATAATAAGCCATCAAACTACAGTCTGTGAGTTCATGTGTTTCTTCAGGAGAAATGTGATTTTCACAGTTATAATCAGATTATCAGCAGCTTCCAGCAGTCACAGAGGAACAGTTCATTCATTCAGACTGAAGACAGAAGCTGCTTTTTGCATCTGAGTCATGTCGTTATTGATCATCAGTTATCGGTTAGCTCACACTGATTCAGACCTCTCTCACAGGAAAACTCGTCTTGATTTCACTCCTTTAGTTTAATTGTAAGCTGTCTCTCCAGCTGTTTCCTCTGTTTCTCTGGGTGTGTATTGCCCCCGGGGCTGATGGGACTTGCAGTGTTTAGTGAGGAACACAGAGCGTTTTGTTTCCTGCTGCAGACTCTGGTGCGTGTGACCGAGTCGTGATCGACTGAAACAACAACGACGTCTTTCACGCTTACATTCCTGCAAAACTCACATGAAGCAGTCGATTTACAGAAACAGTCACAAACACTTACGTCACTGTGGGACTGAGCAACACTGACATAGCAACATGTTTAATATATATATACATATATCTGTTTATTGATTATGTATCTGTGCTGATATCTGTACATTTGCCTCACAGAGCAACTCTGTTGTTAAACTGTCTAATGACACTAAACATTGGCTTTATGCTCAGGATGGTCCGTCATCACATTGACAGTGACTGGAAGCTCTCACCTGGCTAGCAGCTCCCAAAACATGTGAGTGAAATTTCCAGGAGGACAATTTCAACATGTTAGAACTGAACAAAGTGACAGAACAGTTCACGGATGAACATTTTGAGTCTGACTCAAGTCCTCCACCATCACCGCTGGCTCACGTGAAATGCATGCTGGGATACAAATAATAAGGTATATCAAATATCCTGATAAACAAGCAGAAGGCAAACCTCTACAGGGCAGTCAGACAGACAGACAAGCTTACCCGAGTCTTTCCTCTTCTTTCTTTCGGAGGTTAAAGTCTCGTTGAATCACCTCCCAGACGTGTTTGGCCTCTTCGTCTGTCAGACGGGACAGATCCAGTTTACGCTCCATGACGTCCACTGAAACAAGACAGCAAACTAGTGCTTTAATCTAACAATTGTGTTAAGTGGCGAAATGTTATGTTAAGAGGAAGATTTCAAAATTTTGTAAAAAAAAATGTTTACAGCTAAAATTCTTCATGAAAAAAATTTATTAAAAAAACAGTAAAAACATTTTGAAAACAAAACATTTACTGAATAGATGAATTATGGCTTTACATTTATGGTGAAACCAACAAAACGTTGATCATTTTATCTGGAACAGCAGCAGAATTAGAAAACAAGTCAGTGATGTGTCAGAAACAGTTTCTACTTGGTATGCTAACGTTAGCCACCATTAGCTCCTGGTCATACCAGACTACGTCAGACAGAAAACATGCGAGCTGAAACAAACAAAGCTGCGTTTTATGTTTCACGAAGCTTTTCTTTTGTATTAAGACTGAATTTATTCTGTTAGAAAAATGACTCACTTTGAAACGTCATGCTGTTTTTATAAAATTCCTTAAATCTTAATAAATCTTATTTTAAACATCAGTGTTTCCTTTTTCACTTCTGATCCATTAAAGAAACATGCCCTCATTACTGGTTTCAAAGCTCCACCAGTTCAGACCAGCTCAACTAAAGACTGATTCTTTTACCGGTTTTATTTGACTCATAGTTCAGTCCTGACAAATGAAAGGATCCAGTAATAAAGAAGAATAAAGTAGTACCTCCACCTTCAGGTTGGAGCCTTAAAATACTTTTTAAAAACTAAATTCAAACTGTCTCTTATAATGTAGCAGACCTGAGGCCAGAGCATTAATGCTGCTGTAATATAAAACAGTGTGAGATCTGCTTTTAAGCTACACTTTGTCACCACACCCTAAAACATGTTACACAACTGATGCCATCAATAACTGATGCCCTTACTTTAAAAACAAAGGAACATGTTTATTACATAAATATCTTCTTTAACATGGACTGGATTTTAAAACTAAACAGCTGATTAAAACCTTTAAAAGAAGCAGACCGTTTGTTGGAATTTCTTCTGTTCAAATGATGTGGGAGGTTTTTTGATGAAATCTGACATTTTACAGATTGAACATTAATTAATGAACAAATGTGTGAATATAAAGATTTAAATGCATTTTTGTTCGATATTTACAGAAACTTTAAGCTACTGACTGAATTAAATCAGTTTCCAATGAAGTTTTAATGCGCTGTACAGTGATGTAATGAGATGTATTGAGATTTAATAAATGTTAATCTGATGTAATAAATGAAATTAAAGAGAAGAATAAAGACTCACCGTGTGTTTCTGTGTGTTCAGGCTGAAACTGATGAAACGTCTGGCTGAGTTTAAACTGAGACAATCAGCTGATCACATGACGACCGTTCTCATGACAACAACAACTACACACAGAAACACTCAACTACACACTGTAGCACACTCTGGTGAAAACAAATCAGAACAGTAGAGAAAGAAGTTGTTATGTTTTGAAGTTAAATTTGAGATAAAGTCGTAATTAAAGAAGTAAAGTGATTTGGATATATAACACTTTAAATGTTATATATATCACAATGTTTGGAGGTAAAAGTCATATTAAAAGATGTGGTCATATTTTGACATCACAATGCACACCAACATGTAAAAACACACAGTTGTAGAACACTGCAGCCGCTGTGCAGTGAGAAAATTTGAAATTTTGAGGGTAAATTTGAAATATTTGGAGGAACAAAGTTAAGATGAGTTTTTAAAGTGTTGATATAATATAAAATAAGACTGACTGAAAGGAAACATTTGAGATCTTTAGAAACCTTTTTTTGTTGTCACTACTCAGAACATTCATGTGTTTCCTCTTGTGAGATTTGGACTCTGCTGACACATTCACCAACTGTAAAGACAGCAGCTTTGTCTCAGGATGTTACACTATATGTAGTTTAAGTATGTGGACTGCTGACAGGGGAGCATGTTGGATGGGGTTCAGGTCTGGGTCTGTGCAAGCCTGTCATGTACAGAGCCCACACCAAAATTGGAAAAGCATTTCTTTGGACAAACAGTTCTAAACAGGCCTTCACCTATTTCTGAAGTTGATAGGCGGTCCTTTGTAATTCTGTAATTAAGCCTAATTGAATATTGTGTGCAATGAATCAATGACAAATCCATGTAAATAAAATATTTATTATAATGGAATTTCTTTGTGGCCTATTTGTTATGGTTTACAACCAGCAGACAATTAGCAGAATTATTTTAAGTGAGCGAATAGTTAACATTTATAACATTTACATTACATTTATTAATTTAGCTGATGCTTTTATCCAGATGTGTCACACTGGGGAGTTGAAGCCACGTCTATCATTCGCCTTATACGCCCAATAAAATAAAAATTATTCTACTAAACACTGCTTTCATTACCACCCCCCTTCACCCCAAACAAAGCAGTCTCTCCCGACTTTTTAACTAATATCATATTCATAACAGCAGCAAGCAGTATGGTTTTTACAAAGCATATAGCCTAGGCCTAATGTTTCTTAACACCAATGGCTGAAATAAAAATAAAACAAGTAAATCCCGACTTTTGAACATCTGTTTTTCTGCACTTGTATCCTGTTTATAAGAGCAATATTCAGTAGTTACAAAACGTTACATTAACGCCACTCTCTCCCGACGAGTCCAAGCATCAGTGACAGCAGCCGCCAGAGTTTCTTTCTGTAAGTTTCACGTTGCAGTGCTGCTTCAGCAGCTGTTTTAGTAAATCAGATGTAGAAATGTGTGCAGCTGTAAGCATTTTGCTGGTCGCACAGTGTTTACAACAGACGACAATGTTCTTTGCATCTTAGACTGTGACACAATAATGGCAGCAGCTACTTGCAGTTCACTAACAAGGACCACGCCAATGTTAGATTTTATAGTGGTTTATTATGATGAATAGTTATGGACGAAGGGGTCGAGAGAACAGGGATGAAGGGGTCGAGGAGGTTGTTTGGGGTTTGGTGGCCGGAGTGGCTAGGAACCCGAAGGGTCGAGATTCAGGGTGGGGGCTCGTCTCGATAAGCGGCTTGGTCTTATGAGCCCCCCTGTGGTTACTGTTGTGTAAGAAGACAAAATGATTACTAGTCAGAATTTCGGATTTTAGCGTTCATGTCTTTCATGGTGGGAGGAAGCCGGAGCGCCCGGAGGACACCCACTCAAAAGCAGGGAGAACATGCAAACTCTGTGCAGAACAGCCTGGTCTGAGCGAGGTTTAAACTCAGAACCTTCTGCTGTGAGGCCACAGTGCTGGCCACTGGTCCACCGTGCTGCCCATTAAAAGAGGTGAACAAGCAGTGTTTGGATGGGAGGGATGTGAGAAATGGGAAAGAAAACGGGTTAGACAGCTTATATACGTGAGTGCATGTGACTGGATTTGAGAAGCTTAGGTGGATGGAATGAGTGAAGTACAGGTGGTTGATTGGAGGAATTGAATGAAGCGCAGGTGGTAGAATTGTCACGGTCTGGTATGGGTGAGGCAGGTTGGAGGACCCAAACGCAGGACACAGAGCGGAGCAGGTATGGTTCAGTGGTTTTAATAAGCAAACAAAAGGCGAGCACACTTACAAACAGAATAGCTGATGACTGAGTCCCAAAACAAAGGTAGTCCAAACAGATATCCAAAGGAAGCAGGGTAACACGACCGGGAGACACGACAAACAACAGGAGACCTCACAGCAACAACAGGAGACAGCACGCAATGACCCGACAAAGACAAGACAGAAACACCAGGTATATATACACACAGGGACTAACGAGCAGGGCGGGAGCAACACAGGTGAAAGACATGAGGCTAATGAGACACAGGCAGGGAGAGAGAGAGCGAGTGTAGGGGAAAACAGAGACAGAAATGCAGAGTGTGACAGTACCCCTCCCTCAAAAGGACGGCCCCTGACGTCCTAAAATGAAACATCACAAACAAAAAAAAACACAAACAGGTCAAGCCGGCCCAGGGTGGGCGGAGGGAGGCCAGGTGGAGGGCCAGAAAAACAAAACAAAAAGTCCCAAAGGGCCAACTACCGGCAGGGCAAGGCAGTTCCGGAGGTCGTCCAAGGCGGCCAGAGGGGAACAAAAGTTCAGGGGGTCGTCCTGGAGGATAACCCAACGGACCAGGTGGGCAACAGAGTTCAGGGGGTCGTCCCGGAGGGTGACCCGTGAGGCCGGGCAAATCAGGGGAGAACAGAGTTCGGGAGGCCGTCCCGGAGGACGACCCAACAGGCTGGGCAGAACAGGGGGTCCACAGAATTTGGGAGGTCGCCTGGGAGGACGACCCAACTGGGTGGGAGGACCAGAGGGACCACAGAGTTCAGGTGGCCGTCCCGGAGTACGGCCCTGGAGGCCGGACTGTTCAGGGGGACGACAGGAAGGCCAACAAAGAGGCTGGAAACCCACTGGAGGCCGACGGGAAGACCTCTCCGGAGGTCGGCACCCAAAGCTCTGGTGCTCTGGAGCTGCAGCAGGGCTGAGGACCACCGGCGAGACAGCTGGGCTGAGGACCACCGGCGAGACAGCTGGGCTGAGGACCATGGACCGGACACGAGGAGCTGGAGTCGGTCTGAACACCGACTGAGCAGCTGGGCTGGGGACCATGGACCGGACACGAGGAGCTGGAGTCGGTCTGAACACCGACTGAGCAGCTGGGCTGGGGACCATGGACCGGACACGAGGAGCTGGAGTCGGTCTGAACACCGACTGAGCAGCTGGGCTGGGGACCATGGACCGGACACGAGGAGCTGGAGTCGGTCTGAACACCGACTGAGCAGCTGGGCTGGGGACCATGGACCGGACACGAGGAGCTGGAGTCGGTCTGAACACCGACTGAGCAGCTGGGCTGGGGACCATGGGCCGGACTCGAGGAGCTGGAGTCGGTCTGAACACCGACTGAGCAGCTGGGCTGGGGACCATGGACCGGACACGAGGAGCTGGAGTCGGTCTGAACACCGACTGAGCAGCTGGGCTGGGGACCATGGACCGGACACGAGGAGCTGGAGTCGGTCTGAACACCGACTGAGCAGCTGGGCTGGGGACCATGGACCGGACACGAGGAGCTGGAGTCGGTCTGACCACCGACTGGACAGCTGAGCTGAGGTCCACGGACTGAGCAGCTGGGCTGAGGACCATGGGCCGGACACGAGGTGCTGGAGTCGGTCTGAACACCGACTGAGCAGCTGGGCTGGGGACCATGGACCGGACACGAGGAGCTGGAGTCGGTCTGAACACCGACTGAGCAGCTGGGCTGGGGACCATGGACCGGACACGAGGAGCTGGAGTCGGTCTGACCACCGACTGGACAGCTGAGCTGAGGTCCACGGACTGAGCAGCTGGGCTGAGGACCATGGGCCGGACACGAGGTGCTGGAGTCGGTCTGAACACCGACTGGACAGCTGGGCTGGGGACCATGGACCGGACACGAGGTGCTGGAGTCGGTCTGAACACCGACTGGACAGCTGGTGCCGGTCGGACCACCGACGAGGGAACAGGAGTCGGCTGGGCCACCGGTGAAGCAGGTGCCGGTCGGACCACCGACGAGGGAACAGGAGTCGGCTGGGCCACCGGCGAAGCAGGTGCCGGTCGGACCACCGACGAGGGAACAGGAGTCGGCTGGGCCACCGGCGAAGCAGGTGCCGGTCGGACCACCGACGAAGCACGAGGAACAGGAGTCGGCTGGGCCACCGGCGAAGCAGGTGCCGGTCGGACCACCGACGGAGCACGAGGAACAGCAGTAGGCTGGGGGCTAGCCGCAGGGGTGCTGGTGCTCAAAAAACTTTTTGCCCACCTTGGCAACCGACGCCGCAACCATGGCTTTGTGGCCGCCTCCTGGTGGGCCCTGGTGAGAGCGGCTTGCCGGGATTTGCGGCTTGAGGCAAACTGCCAGATAGTCCACAATTCAGCCAAGACGTCCAGAAACCTCTCCCTCTCCATTTTAGCGTCTGCTGGGTCCTTGTCTTGGTCGGGTCATTCTGTCACGGTCTGGTATGGGTGAGGCAGGTTGGAGGACCCAAACGCAGGACACAGAGCGGAGCAGGTATGGTTCAGTGGTTTTAATAAGCAAACAAAAGGCGAGCACACTTACAAACAGAATAGCTGATGACTGAGTCCCAAAACAAAGGTAGTCCAAACAGATATCCAAAGGAAGCAGGGTAACACGACCGGGAGACACGACAAACAACAGGCGACCTCACAGCAACAACAGGAGACAGCACGCAATGACCCGACAAAGACAAGACAGAAACACCAGGTATATATACACACAGGGACTAACGAGCAGGGCGGGAGCAACACAGGTGAAAGACATGAGGCTAATGAGACACAGGCAGGGAGAGAGAGAGCGAGTGTAGGGGAAAACAGAGACAGAAATGCAGAGTGTG